TATTTCTCATCTCTCTCATTTTTGAAATTCAGCAAATTTGTATACCTAATTTCCAGAATGGATAAGAAAAAGTGGATGCGCAACTAATTTCTAGCTTTGAATCTCAAGTAAGTGTATTTGAGACAAGAATCCAATGGAATTATCATCAATACATACAACTTACAGCTTAGACCTCCAGTAATGCCATCTACAACATTTATAACTGAAGCTTCATGACGTTAAGGCAACACGTTCAACTGGGTGTTAAGTTAACATCTTGTAGAATCTCCCTGCAGGCATTCGTCAGAAAATTTCTGACAAAAGAGCTGTAATTAAGCAAGCGAAGAGGTCAGGTCTTGTCACTCAGATGACATTCACATAGCAACGAATCTTGTTCATGAAGTGAGAAATGCTCTTCATGAATTCCGTAATGAGCAATGGAGCGACTTTCTGTCGGGGATGCTTGACTCAAGTATTCCTCTCTGGAAAATTGCAGTCGCTCAGAAAACGGAAAGCGAGAACAACTTCCGCACATCCACGGTCCTGGGGGCATAGTCTGTAGGACAGAGGAAAAGGTCGAGGTTTTCGATGATGCAATGGAAAGTCAGTTCTCTCCCAACCTTGATAATGACCTCGACGAGGAGCAACATATTGTAAGATCCGTCAGGAGATATTTTAGGGCCAACGGCGTCAGTGGTGCCTCCCTTAGTGATTTTTCCTCAGAGGAATCTTTAGAAGATTCCTCAACTGTAGACCTGCATGGTACATCAGCGGAATCTCCTGAGACTCCGCATTGCACACCAGCAGAGCTCCAAGGTCATATTAAAGACCTCAAGGTGCGTAAAGCACCTGGAGAGGATCGAATCACTAATAATCCGCTGAAGCTACTTTCGTTCTTAAGTCCTTAACTTACCTCGTGGCAATAATCAATGCCATGCTAAGGACCCAGCACTTCCCAACGGCGTGGAAGACCGCTGATGTCACAATGATTCCAAAGAAGGTGGGTTCGATATTCCCCCAGGATTACCGCCCCATTAGTCTACTGTCAGCTCCTTCTAAGCTCGCTGAAAAGGTGATTCTACATCACCTTGAAAATTTCTCGGCAGACCACAATGTGATTCCTGACGTGCAATTTGGCTTTCGGTCTGAGCATAGTACAGAGCTACAGGCCATAAGGATCGTTAAACAAGTAGCCAGGGGGTTCACCCGTAACGAAAGTACTGGCATCTTGCTTCTGGATGTCTTAAAGGCATTTGACAAGGTGTGGCACAAAGGCCTTCTCTACAAGTTGTTCCATAAGGGCTTCCCCTTCTGGCTCCTAAAACTCTTGAAATCCTTCCTCGAGGGTAGGAAATTTCGGATCAAAATTAATGACGTTCTGTCGATAACACGGCCCATCAAAGCCGGTGTCCCTCAAAATTCGGTTCTTGGACCAGTCCGTTTTTCACTTTTTATTCATGACGTCCCTTGCCCCAGCAACTGTGAAACCTATCTCTATGCTGACGACACTGCAATGGTGGCCCAGTCGTGCTCTGGGGATCTAGTTCACGATAGGCTGCAAAATGCAGTGGACGAGGTATTGGAATGGGCGAGTCGGTGGCTGATCAAAATTAATCATTCGAAAACGCAGGCAATCTATTATACTAAAAAACGTAGTGGCCCAACGTCTGAGGTGAATGGATCTCGGGTACCATGGGAAAGCTCTGCTAAGTATGTCGGTGTCACTCTTGACAAGGGGATGACCTGGCAGAAGCACACTGAAACGTTAAAAACTAAATTCCAAATCTCGTTTCGGCAACTCTACCCTATGCTATGTAGAACATCAAAATTAAGTTTGATCGACAAAGTTCGCCTATACAAGATGGTTATTAGACCAGCGATTACTTACGCAAGTGCGGCTTGGTGTTTTCTCGCCAAAACGCATTTGCATAGCCTGCAGGTTTTGCAGAACAGAACCTTGCGTACAATCACTAACCCCCATGGTATGTTTCCAACGAGACCCTTCACAGAGACCTTGACATCCCTTACCTAAGGGACTACATCAAACAAGAAGCGCAGCTACGTCAAGCGGAATCGCATAACAACCCTTTGTTGCGCGAGTCAGTAGATTACACAGTCGAGCAAGTTCGCAAGCATACAAGGCCACGACTCGCACTGTGAACAAAATTAAATCGTGCGACTTTAGGTCCAACCAAAATTATAATTTTTCTTCCACAGCCAATCCCAAAATTAATTTTAGGATCAATTTGAAATTTCCGAATGCTAACTAGCAATGCCAAGGCACCCGTCAAAAAAATGCACTCCTTTTTTCTTTGCTCTCCCTCCTTCCTTCCTTCCTTCCTTCCTTTCTTCTTCCCTTCTTTCTCCCTGACTTTGTTTGGTATCTGGGCAACCAGACCTGACAGACCTACTGACTTACAAGACTTCAACCAAGAGCAAAGGTCCTACGGACCGCTCTGACAGAAAATGACGAATAGATCTTGTAGAAAAACCTACATAATGTCAAAAAAAAACAGTATAATGTCATAAAAAAATCGGTATAACGTCACTTTTCAACTTTTCAAGATACGTAACACCCGAGCCCGTCAGTCAGAACCATTTGGGATTTTAAGCATACACAATCGCCGACACCCCCTCCACCCCTCCACTTTCCAGCTTTGAATCCCAGGCCCTACTAATTTAATAAACATACTCCTACGTAAACCTAAATCAATCTTTGACTCAAGAAATAGCCTTGTTTGGTCTGACAGCTACTGGAATTTGCTGGCTGCAACCTTGAACATTTGGTTCTAGCGATATGCACGGGCATCATACAACTAACTTATGCCTAATCGTTAGCAGGAATGTTTTCGTAAAAGTCGGTAGGGCGATTTCTTGTCCTCATTTGTCTTCACTAGATGTCTTTTTGTTAGGTTATGTAACAATCAGGAATTATTAGAAAAAACCGCAGCTTGTCATAAGAAGTGTAATCGCTAAAAATTTCGTAAATCATATTACGCTTTTTCGGATGATATATGATATCACGAAAAATCATTTCTCTCATTTCCGTCGGTCTGTCTGACTGTCGGTCTGTCTGTTCGCTAATCCTTGGCCGCTTGACTTGGAGAAAAACGCTAGAATTATGATATAATTTTGACACAAGGTTACTACTATGCCAAGACGAAAACGCTTTGTAGTTTTTGTAAATATATGGATTCATACTTCGTTCTCTGACATTTCAGACTCCTGCTCATTTATGGAAAATGTTTATGACGAATAAAGATTGAGATAGGAGGATTACATGAAGTAATTTTTGGTAATCATACAGGGTGATTCACAAGTCGTGACCAAAAATGAAACATCATACACAGGACCGCACTTTATGTAACATATGTAACATTTTTTCTCAAGGGCTTCATTAAAAAGATACATGGCATAGAAGTTTAAAAATGAAAAACAATTTTTTTAACATCTTCAACACCGTCAACTGGAATGAACTAAAATTTGGTACGTGGATTTACCTAAGTATTGTCCACACTCAAAAGTCTTTACTTAAAATTATCGTGCACCAGTTTCGGAGATACAGGGGATTAGTTGCATTATTTGTCCAAATAAAAATGGTTCGCATCTGTTTATTTGTTTTCGAAACGTGCAATTTTTCGAGTTACACCTTCAATGCTCTACAATTAATTACTCTTGTGTTTTTTCATAGAGTGCACTGTTTTCGAAAAAATAAAAATAAAATAATTTAGATCATTCATCACGAGCCGAGATACAATTAATTTCAAAATAAAATAGGAGACCTTGATACCTACTTGACGTTCCTTGAAATACTGTTGTCAAAGTTATGTGTCATACAGTTATTATTATTACTACTACCATTTTTTTTTTGTAAAAGTCAAGTCAAAAGTATTTGTTGTCTATTTTTGAGTGCTGTGAAATAGAATTTAGCAATGATCAGTACGCCGATATCATTTTTGTGTACGGGTTCTGTAATGGAAACGCTTTAGCGGCTTTTCGGGAGTATCAGCGTAGATTTCCTAAGACACGCCGACCGACCCCAAAGGTTTTTACTAATTTTTTTTTCGAAAACAATGCACTCTAGAAAAAACACAAAAGTAATTATTTGTAGAAAATTCGAAAATATTGTGTGTTTCCAGAATAAACAGTGGCGTACTACTTTTATTTGGAAAAATAATGCCACTAATCCTCTGTATCTCCGCCACTGGTGTACATCATTTTAAGTAAAGACTTCTGAATGTGGACGATACTTAGTTAAATCCACATACCAAATTTTAGTTTGTCCCAGTTGACGATTTTGAAGATACTAAAAACATTTTTTCTTATTTTTAAACTTTTTAATGAAGCCCTCGAGGAAAAAATGTTATATAGAAGACCCCCTTAAAATGGGGTCCTCTGTATGATGTTTCATTTGTGGTCACCACTTGCGAATTACCCTGTAGATCTATCCGCTTATAGCCACTGTATTTATGCACACCTATTGAACATGTTAAGACAGAATGCAATATTTTTAATGCTTATGTCGAACACAATGAAAATAGAATTTAAACCTGTCGTGAGCTAGTTGCTGACTATGTCGATTCAGTGAGCTGAGCACAACATTGTCAAATGGTCAGTAGGGTAGATAATAATTTTTTATAACACAACGTTTTCAAATGGGTGAGGACAGGGAATCAATTGAATGGGACTATTTGACTGACTTGATCCATTAAATTCAATGCTATGTGACGCTATTTTTTTGTATATTAACGGATTCGTAACCCACTTATAATAATAGATAGAAATTTTGAATCAAGTATTTGAATCCAACTCTAATTTGTCTAGGATATGGCAGCGTCACGTCACGGATCTACGTCACCCAGGGCTTAGGCATTGAAACTCTTAAAATAGGTGAACTTATAATTAAATTAAAAAAAATCACGTTATTGACCTTCTACTTCATCACTTTTATACTGTCCTAAATTGCGCATTTATCTCCTTTGAGGCTTGGGTCAATTTTTTGATGAACTCATTCTACTTACCACAAGCTCTGCAAATTTGATATCTAGTTCTTCTTGTGAAGGCATTGGTTGCGTTGGTGTTATTGCTTGGAGGGTCAAAGTTCCTGTTGTGTCCACTACGCAGTATGTTATCTCGGGTGGTTCGTCATCCTAGAACCAAAAATTATGTTCAGAAATATTCATCGAGAGAGGATCTCTTTTGGCGATATAAAACGACGTCAAGGCACGGAGCCAAAGATGATAAATCTACATACGAGTATATCATGCTGACACAGGACTTGCTTAGGTTGCTCACTGTGTTTATATTAGTAGCAATTCAATTAATTAAGAAAGCCTTAGTTTGGCCCTGCATCTTGTTCTTACAATGATGATGTCTTGGTATCCACGGCGTATCGCCTACTGGGCATAATCAAGCAAGAAACCATGTTTATTTGAAGTAGCACATGCAAAATAACGATAAAAATATTGTACAAAAAATAAATATTTTCAGAAATTACCGAGTGAGTAGCGAGTATAAACGAATTACACTTTGACAGTTTTGTATGATAAACGTTTCGGCCTAGACCCGTAACTAATCCCTGGGGGATTTTATAACTATATGTCTAGCATCTTTTATTCAGAAACTGAAAAGTGGAATCTTTAAAATGCAATAACTTAAAATTTTAAAAGATGTTACAGCTAATAGTGTATTAAGACCTTTGGATCCAGAAAGAGGTTATGCTCAAATCAGATATTGCAAAGTCTGAAATTTTCTTGCCTCTACCAACCTAACAGACAAAATATCAATACTTTGACTGATAAAATCTTTATTTAAAAAATATATTTTTTTAACTGACAGACAAGAGACACGAAATCTAGTAGAAATTATTTACTAGAAATCGTACTACGCTAGTGTTACTCCTCCCCACCCTCCATATTTCTGTAACTGGTGGAATAAACCTTATTATGTAAGTGCTACTCCTCCTTAGCTTCCATACTTACAAATGTACTTGTTGTATAAAATCCTGCTCTAAGCAAAATGTATTATCAAAATTATATAAAAAAAAATCTGCCCGTGCACAACCAACTAAACCAAGTGACATATAAATCCGAACACCCAGTTTAAATGGTTTTATTTTAATAAAATTTTGTATAAGTACTTAATGAAGCATAATAAGTAAATGATAAAAATTTCAAAATGATTGCACTGCTTTGAAGCCCTTTGACCTTTAATAATGTGTGGATGCACCCTGATGTGCTACGCATTCTCCAAGGCGCCTAGGCATGCTTCTGATCAGGTGGTCAATGTCCTCCTGTGGTATCTCATTCCAGGCAACCACCAACTCCTCTCGAAGTGCTTCTAGAGTCTGAGGAGGACGTTGCAAATTGAGCAATCTCCTACCCATCATATCCCACACGTGCTCAATTGGGGATAAGTCGGGAGATCTTGGTGGCCATGGTAACAATGTGACATCATTATGTTGAAAGAAGTCTATTGTGACTCTTGCAACATGTGGTCGGGCATTATCTTGTTGGAAAGTTGGATCTGCCAGGGTGTCAAGATAGGGTAAAAGATGGGGTTCTAGAACTTCGTGGATATAACGCTGCGCGTTCGTGTTACCTCTGATGAAGATTAAAGGTGACCTGGAACCATAAGCTATAGCACCCCAAACCATAACTCCAACAGTGTGATGAACATGTCTTTCAACAAAAAACTGTGGATTCCTCCTTTCACCACGTCGCCTTCTAACCCTGGCACGACCATCGTGCATGCCTAACCAAAATCGAGACTCGTCACTAAAGACAATACTGTTCCATTCCTGATCCCAGAGTGACCGTTGTCTGCACCACTCAAGGCGATTACGTCGGTGTTCTCGAGTTAAAGGGAGGACCCAGTGTGGCCGGTATGAAAACAAGCAAAAACTTCTCATTCGTCGGTAAACACTTCGCATGCCAATAGGTCTTCCGTGTTCTGCAAACCATTCATTTGCAATGGACCTGGTAGTGGAGAAACGGTCCCTTAAGGCCAATAATCTTAGGCGGCGATCATCACGGTCCGTTGTTCTACGGCGGCGTCCAGTGCCCCTTGCTCTTTGCGTATGGCCTTCTCGAACCCATGCCTGACAATACCTAACCACAGTGTCTACACTTCTTTGCACTCTAACTGCAATTGCCCGAAAAGAAAGTCCAGCTTCCCGAAGTCCCACTATACGGCCCCTATCAAACTCACTAAGTTGACGAAATCGTACAGGTCTCCGTACTCTAGGCATCGTAACCGATCGTAAAGGATGTCAAGAACCAAAATCCGCCAATGTTGATTCTTTACTGCGGCTGAAATATTCATTTTTAGAGCGTTAGTGAATTAAAGGAAAGCAGTATAAAAACCGGAATGTCCAACTGATAAGACTGAAAAATTTTTCACTTGTTATTTACAGTAAGATAAATACATTCACCAACTTTTATTAAAATAAAACCATTTAAACTGGGTGTTCGGATTTATATGTCACTTAGTATATTTTGGTTTCAATGGGCTTCACAAGACAATTTAAGAATTTTCTGTGACTTATAAAACATGTTAATTTAAGATTATTTTGTGAAAGTCAGGTATTATGTTTTATTTTACGTTTATTATTGTACTGAAGTTAGCATTTGTATTTATTAACACATTTTTGGGAAAAAATAAACGTATACTACTACTACTACTCCAAACGTGTAATTTAAGTAGTTTCACTTTTCAAATTTCCAAATATCGACGCAAAACAATTTTAAAATGCAAATTTCATGCTGTTCTCTCGTGTAGGCAAATATAGAATAAAAATAAAATATTGGCTGAGGCCTTAGGCGTGAAATAGAAGAATTTTTAGCACATTAGGTTCAAGCAATTTTTCCAAGGCATGAAAAAACTGGATAAAGCGAAGTGCGTCCTTGGAAACAATTTGTTTCAGCTATGGAAAGTGTAATTTTACTCTAGAAAAATTTCTGAAATACTACTTTGTTATTTGAGAAATACTCCTAAAATTTGAGCGCGGCTCAGTTGTGACGCCACTGCAACCTCCGACATCTAACAACCGAGGAAAAGGATGGTCACCTCACCGATCATTACTTGTTTCCTGTTCAATTAAGTTGCATTTGATTACAATATTCATAAACAACATCCTTTAATGCTGTTTGGCATGATTTCAATTTTTCTAATCCATAGCCAAGGCCGAGTTTGATAGTGAGAAACTGTTTCGATCTGTTACAAGGTGGAAAGTGAGTAGAACACTTATTTTTGAGCCTTGTCACATATGAAGCCCACTACTAGGTGTTTATAGTACAATATACTTAGCGCATTAGAAAAAATAATTCCTTCAACTTCATTTTATGGCAATGGGGTAGTCTGACATCAACAATGAAACGATAATATTCTCACGAAATTTTATTGACAAGTAATAAGAAAAACAATTAATGTGTTGGGCGACCCTGCAGCTTACACTCCTGTATATGTCTAGGCATTGACAAAATGAGATGATCGTTGTCTGGTTGTGGCACCTCATTCCAAGCAACTCGGACTTCGTGGATTAGCTGTGGCAGAGTCTGTGGTGGATGGTGCAAAGTGGATAGTCTCCTCTCCATCATATTCCACGTTTGATGGGATTTAAATCCGGTGAACGGGGTGGCCACGGCAAAACATTAACGCCTGCTTGTTGAAGAAAGTTCGCAGTATGACAAGCAATATGGGGATGTGCGTTGTCTTGCTGAAAAAGGACGTGTGGACGGCCCTCTAGACACGGCGGTAAAGTGGTTTGCAGGACATCATCAACATAACGCGCAGCAGTCATATTGCCTTGAAAAAAGAGAAGGGGCGATCTGCTTCCATAGGGAATGGCCCCCCAATCCATTTCTGTAACAGTCCTGTGTACATGCCTCTAAACAGCAAATCCAATATGACGCCGATCTCCACGGCAGCGTTTTACCCTTCTACGACCATCGTGCGCACCTAGACAGAAACGCGATTCGTCGCTGAAGATGACATTATGCCATTCTACCTCCCAATGTTGCCGTTCTCTACTCCAGCTCAAAAGTTGACGACAGTGGTCCATAGTTAGAGGAAGCACTAACTGGGGACGGTGTGAAAAAACTCCAAAGGCTCGAATACGGGATAGAGTGTATGCATAGTAACAGAGCTACCTTTTTCTCCAAACCATTGGTCAGCTATCTGACACGTAGTAGCAAAACGGTCTCGCAATAACTAAAAATGTATGTACTACTCAGCTCTCAGAAACTGCTGTCTTCATAAAAACTAAGAGACAACATTCTAACAAAGGTTAACAGAAACAAAGATAAAACGTTGACATTGTTGCCACAGCATGCTCTAAGAGGTCCACCCCTGCCTTCTTTTTGAACAAGTCAAGTTAGCAAGCTGATATTTGGAGTAGTGAAATTAATGCGTGGTATTTTATCGTAGAACTGACAGTTGAAAACCTCAAGATAGCGGTTGGTGTCATTTTGAAACATTTTTTAAATGAAATGGGGGTTCGTGTGATACTTTATTTTAAAGCTCCTTATTGTTACTTTGTAACCTTAGAGTATAAAATCACGTTCTTCCAAAATGGCGGACTTGTAGGCTGTTAAATTTAAGCGTTCCTATGCTTGAAGAATTGCTTATAACTCAACAACTAATCATCAAAACATCATAGTATGTTATATCAATCTTCTTCTTTGGGAGCCTCTATATGAATGCGCAATAAAATATGATACAGCTTTAAAAAAATTGTTTCAGTTGGACTAGAATAGAATGGAATAAAATTATTCCACATTCGTATACACCCTTCCAAGAGAAGAACAATGATGTAATATACTAAAGCTTTTTGATGATTAGTTTTTGAGTTGTAAGCGATTCAAACAACAAGTGTTCTAAAATGGCAACCGGCCGCCATCTTGAAATTTTCAACCAATACTTTAAAAGTTTTTGCTACTATCTCAAGGATAAAGGGATTTTGAAGGTTTTGAAAGTGGGTTCAGTCATGGCAGAGTTATAGAAGGTAACTCCGGATTTCCGGAACGGGACCGTTGAAAAAATTTCAACTCAATTCAACATTTTTCAAGTTTTTAAGTATCACTAATTAGTGTAATCATATTAGCGAATTTTTCCGACATAATTGTAAAGTCTGGTTTTATTGGTGCAAGTT